CACTATTGGTTCAAGCAGAAGCAATGTGGTTTTCAACTGGGATATAGAGGACAAGCCTCTAAAGAGTGAGAACTGGGAATTAAACAAAGAGTGCAAAGACAGAAAAGTATGATATATAATATTTGACTATGAACCCCAGAGAGAGAGAGAGAGAGAGAGAGAGAGCAGTTGAAGTGTGTGTTACTAATACTATATATTTAGGCCACTGGCCACATTCTGACATTCCCAGAGAAAATACATCGAAGCTTAGAAAATTAATTATGAAAACCCCAAAAGTATATTAGTGAATAATAATAATATTAATGTGTGATATTCTTGAGAGGGAGACCATTTTAAAGCTTGGAAGTGAAGCTTTGTTGCTGGCTTTCCCTGCCTTTGTTTGGTTGGTTGTTCCACGTTCATCGCTGCAAGTCTCTGTATGTCGGCAGTGCACCCATTGCCTTCCCCTCCCCTATCCACTACTTTATTTATTTCTTCCCTCTCTGGCAAGGATTGTTACATTGACCGAAATGCCCATCTAGACAATCTCAGATTTTCTTTTCAATTATTTATTTTGTTTCTTTGGTTGAGTACTATTTGGACGTTTGCTATTAGGCCGGCTTTGGAGGATCCCACTTCTGTTACGTGCGTCCCACCAAAAGATCCGACTCTTTGCCAGACAAATGGTTCCCTCATTTCTTCTCACGACCCATTTGTGATTTCCTTCTACAATGTTACAGGGAAAATGCAACACAAGTACATCACAACTTTTATCTCCGTTACTTTTTTACCTAATTTATGTGACGCGTTATTTGAAAACACAACAATATGATACACACAATTGATGTGACACATTAACTATTTCATATAGAATGACTTCTACTTTGGTTTTATTTAGATTTAAGAACTTATGTTACGAAAGAGTTGAGATAACTCTTAAGTATTTCTCGTATTTGTCATATATAAAGATGCTTTATAAGTTGAGAGTAAAAAGTTAAAGAGAGATAATACTCTCTCCTTTTCTCTCAACCCTTCTTCTCTCTTCTTTTCCTTTCTTCTTGGTCTCTCTTCTCTACAACCCATTTTGGTTCTAGGGACCCCTTTGGCTAATAAATCGGGCAACTCTCTCCCCTGTCATGTTGTAGAGAGATTTTCCTCCCTAGTTTTATGTTAGGTTTTGCTTCTTTTCAGTTTTTTGCAGGATTTTGTTTCTCCCCAGTCCTTTTAGACTGGCTTTTAAAGATCCTTTATCTTAAGGAGGTAGAGTTGTTACATCTTGATGGATCTTTTATATGCGGTGTTGTGAGATCATGTGGGATGCTGGAGGTGTTGTGGTCTTCTTTGGCCAAATGGATGTTGAGCGTTAAGGCCCTTTCACTTTTGGTGTTTTTGGTTCCCTGTTCATGCAGAATCAATTTTCTCATGGTCTCTATGTCGCACTGGTGCTATAAAGAGTCTTCTTGATCCTCTATATGTTAACTTTGAGTGAGCTGGGCTTGATTTTGTAATATTTATTACTCACTATCTTGCTGAATTTAATGTTCCCGATTTATTGAATGCAAGAACCTCCATTTGGAGTGTGTTCTTCTTGTACATCCCTTGTATTTACCATTTTATTATTGAAATTATGCTTGTTCTTAATATTTTTTTTTAAAGGTTAAGAGAGATGAATGGGCATTGTTCATCTCATAAAATTGCGTCTTTCAACATTACAACTTTGTTGTGTGTGTGTTATACTCTGTCCACCACATCACAAGTTACAACTTTATTAAACTCATGTTGTAGCTGACCCCAAAAGGAAATATTTACACTCATGTTGTAGGATCAATACAGCCCAAGCTTATTAGCTTAAGCCCAGACTTATTTTAGGTTTCACTTGAGCCCAAACTATTCGCATTGCATACTACTCGATCTTGGGCTTTTTCTTAAAGTAAGAACCAGCTAAATAAATATTACGTTTCATATAGAAATCTGACAAGATCAGTACCAACAATCCGACCTTAGCTCAGTTGGTAGAGCGGAGGACTGTAGTGGGTTATGTGCTCTCAGCCATCCTTAGGTCGCTGGTTCGAATCCGGCAGGTCGGATTTCTTTTTCAATTTCTTTTATATATTTTTCGTCGTTTTAAAAACACATGCACCGGAAATTATACAAGCAAGGACCCAGTGATTCAAAGTCCAGCACGTGACCATTTAATCGTTTTTTTTTTTGTTTTTTTTTTCAATGGCCAAACTTATTTGTTCATGCTAGAAACTCCCTTGAAGTCCTGCAATTAACTGAGAAACTAATTACAAATTAAAGGATTAAATTGAGACAAAACAATAATTACCACGATCAAGGAAAAGATTATAATTAGTATAGTGGTTTGGAATAACTGTTCTCCAAAAAATATCATAAGTCTGAGTCTTAGCATTCGAATAATGAGAAATCACAAAAGAACAAAAGAAGAAAATGACAACTCATGAAATTAAAGGCAATGCGGGCCTTGTTTTGATACACCCTTTTGTTGGTATGTGTGCATGCATGTTTCTGTTCCTAGATTTAACCTAAAATTCAAGCTCTAAGGTTGGGCCAAGAATAAAACACAATCCGAAACATAGAAAATATATACATCCATGTCTTTAAAGATGCCTTCAACGGATAAGCTGATCTGATGGAACAAAAGCCTAGTTACTAATTTGCGTGAGAAAAAGAAGTAGCTTTCAAGCTTCCACTCGTACATATTGTCACTTAAACTGTTACCAAAACAAGAAATTATTAAGGGAATAGTTACTCTTATGATTAAAGAAAGGGGCTAAACAAAAGTTAAATTTCACAGAACTGATCATGGAACAAAAGCCTGCACGTACGTACAGATGGGAAAAACATTAAAGTACTAGACTTTGTCCCATACAAACAGCACACAACAATATGTCCATTCGCACTCTCTCTCCTCCTCCTTGCCTTTCATGTGACGGATCACAGCAGCTATAGCTTCAATACAAAGTGCTCGTGAAAAAATCATTTTTTCCACAAAATGCCTGCCGTTTTCCTTTTTGTCTTGTGCTCATTTGCAGCTTTTTGACGAAGAGAAAAAAGCAAGGACATAAGCTTTCGTCATTGCCTCTCGATCACCTGGACCACTCCCCCCAATCCCAATATGGTAGGTCCAAATTCATAACTTCACTTTGCACGAACATTTTTTTATTTATTTTTTTAAGCCAATTAATCCTCCATTAACAACCCATTTGGATTTGGCCCATTTGCAACCCAAGCTGTGGAAAAAACTGAGTTGTGCCCTTTCCAAGTGAGCACCAACATATCTTCTTCACGCTTCATGCCCCAACCACTAGCATGTTCATCCAGCAAGCCCTTCACTTCCTTAACAGTCTCTTCACAAAACGGGGCGCTTAAGAAACCAACGTTCCTTATTCTTTGTGACATTGCAACGCCTGTCTCTAACCTCTCTATTCTTTGGTGCCCTTCAAACCCAATAATGTTTTCAATTTTGTGACCAACATCAGATTCATAATCCATCCTTTGGGTGCTGTCTTTGGGCAAGAAAGTCTCCAAAGAGTCAAAGGGTATCCACATGTAATTAAAGCAAGTGGTTATTCTTGAGCTAAGACTTGGTGCACTAAGATCAGAATCTTCATCCACCACAACTATGATCCTAGGGTTAAGGGATCTAATCATGTTAAGGAAAGTGTTGCGCATAGAGCCATCTTGATGGCCCGGGCTACCGCAACGCGGCTCATCGGAGAGATAGCGCAACCAATTTTGGCAATTTACAACCAAAACCTCATCATCCCGGAGGTCTAGGGAAGAAGGGTTTAATTGAGTACTCAATAGAAATTCCAAAGAAGATGAGTTTTCAATCACGTTGAATTCAAAAGGGACGTCTTTAAACCTAGAGAAATTCCCCAAACGAAGACCAACTTCTTCACTTGACACATTGAGCAAAGGAGGAACTTGTGGCCTCCAATTGGGAACAGTGACTCTAAGCAAATTAGGAGGCCCCTCAGGCCTTTTGGCCAATGCATCTATTAAAGTAGGCCATTGCATACAATGAGTGATGCTAAAATCTAAGATATGGACTTTTGGGCACCCTTGAATTGCCTTAAAAATTGCACTATTTGATGCACAATATCCAAAACGATGCCATGGGATTAGATCAACATACCCGGCTAGCTCGGTCACCGACATCAACCTAGTTGGGATTGTACTACTACTAGTGCTTCCATTGAAATTCATAGGTGTAGGGCAAACCTTGGAGGCTCTTGAAATCAATGCCCTCAAGATCCATGAGGTCAACCTTTGGTTAGGGTCACCAACAGAAGAAGCAACATTATTGAGCACCCACATCACTTGTTGGGCCAAGGTTACATCGTTGCTCTCTAGGGCACTTGCACAGTGAAGTAAGAGCTTCTCTATACATGCCCCATCAAGGCTTCCAAGACACCCTTTAAGCGCGCCGGTTAGCGAAGCGCCCTGAGAGGTGTTGAAGATGGTAGTAGGATTTTGTAAAGAAATGGAGGTGGTGCTTCCTCTAACTTCAGTTTTCATGGTTCTGATTATTGGAAATATGTGGGGGGAAAAGAAGGAGCTTCAGGGAGGAGGAGGAGGAGGAGGAGGGAGGAGGGAGACGAAAGGGACAGTTGGGTGCTGGACACGTGTCCTGTGAAGATTGGTGGATGAGATTGAAGAGCTAGGGTTTTATCTGTTGGGTTTGTGAGTTTCTAGGTTCAAGAGATATATGAGGCCTTGGGTTAATGGAAATCTGTCTATGGCTTTTGTGTGTGAGATGTGTTTCTGTCTATGAAACATGCACGGAGTTGAGAGCTATAACTTATCTGCTACTTGAACCATATATATACTAGACAGAGACTATATATCCCTAGTTATCCATACATAAATATGGTATATATACACAATAGGAACTTTCAGATTGATAATAAAATGACAAGAATGCATTGATAATTAGTTGCACGTATGATGAATATTGTATACTTCTACATTTTCTTGAAATATCCGGACCAATTATTTAATAATTAAGTGGCATCCCTGAGAAAGGGGAATTAAAGGTACATGAACTAATATAGAGTGATGGGGAGGTCTCTAAAAATTAGCTTATGGGATCAACATGGTAATGTCATTAAATATGTTTTCGTCTACTGATATTTTGTTATACTTTATTGGAAGATGTATCAAATTCGAATGTGTTAATTAGTTAATTAAAATTTATCATAACAGAACATATGAGATGAGGTAGAGCAATACACATCGTAAATCATTAATATCGTTAATTAACATCGTTAAAAAACCAAGTCAACCCATTTGAATATTCCAAATGGCGATGTTCTTTTCTTATTTTTTTTACTCAATTACCAATACTCAAACTATAAGAATCTAGCACTTCAATTCTCATAGACGGAGCTCAGCTAAGGCTAGCTCCAAGCAAATTTGGCACATTGCTAATTACTTAGCACCTCTCATTATCTAAGAGACTAGCAATTGTGGGAGGTGTTGAAGAGAGTAAAGGGTAGGTTAAAGAAGCTGTCTTCGCCGGCCAGTGTTTTGTCGAATTTGCACTCATGCAGTATGATTTAAGACAAAACCACAACACTAATTTAATCAGCATGGATTTGCCTTTGAGTTTTGTGATGGTTACCCATCCTTTGCACTTGGTTTCTTGTGCCACGTGAAGCCACAGGAAAAGACAAATTAGACCTCTTCCCACGAGGACATATGTGGTCATCTCACAAACATGTCAGTTCCATATGGGGTTAAAGACCATGGAATATTGGCACATAAAAACCTTTGCGAATTGTTTGTTTGATTATTTTAAAAGGAAAGAGAAAAAAAAGAAGAATTCTTACTCAATCATTGTTTTGAGTAAACGAAGCTGCACCAGGGAAGGTGCAACAATTTAAACAGGCTTTATATATATATACATATAGAATGAAATTGGTTAATTTGTCTTTTGCAGTGTTTGCATGGAGACGGAAATCCTAGAAAATACTAAAAAAAATGAAATATATATAACTAGAAACTACCCATCTCCACTCGGGTCGTTTTTCATGCGGTTGTATAAAGTCAATACATGAGATGAGACTTCAGTTAACTAAGTGTTGTGTTGAAGTAAAGAGTAATTTCATTTATCTTAGTACAGATATAGTTCCCGGCTTCTTATGTTATCAGACTACAAATTAAGACTAAAACTTAGGTCAAAACTCTTCCGTATATATATATATATATGAAGTGTTAATTTCTAAATTAAAAAGTTCAATTCCAGAAAAGATTGGCATAATTTGCACATTTATTTGATATCAACATCTCAAAGACTGGAAACAGCCAAAGAAATTCAGTAATTATATACCAATAATATTATTGCATTTCGAAGAAAATCAAAAGGCTGTAAGAAAAGTACAAAAAGAGAAAAAGTAGTTATTTCAATTCTGATTTGAAGCATCATATATACATGTATGATTCATGAATGTCAGTAACATATACATATTTTTCTCCGGAATAATTTGTTACTGAAAAGTTGTAGCTTTTGCTTTTTTTGCCTAGCCTGCTGCACGTAAGAGACATGTCACTCTCACTTTACTTAGACAATCCGAAAAAATATCTAGTGATGTAGATTTTGCATTCCTTCACAAGGGAAAAGGAATATTGTCTTCTGTGTAATGTATGGTGCTCAAGCCTTGTCGTCTCAATGAATACCATCCTGCATAACCTAGCTACTGTACAGTTACTCATTCAACCGAAATCTTGTGTTCGAATCTCCCCTTCCTTAATATTGCTTACGTAAAAGATAATTAAGCTTTTTAGTTTAAACTAAGTGGGAGTTTGCTGAATTTGTGGATAATCTTTAGCTGGGGAGCTTCATTATCATCTTGATCTTATGGAGGTTAATTATATTTCTTCCCCAATCCCATCCAAGCATAAGAGAGCCATGAAGAAAAACAAGACCGAGAACTCTCGAACTCTATTTTGTTTCTAGTGGAGCAATTGAAGGTGATGGACATGTATGTCTGCCCTGAAAGACAAGTCAGTAGGGTAAGACAGCATTTTATGCCACGTCAAAACAACAACCAGGAAAATTTGTTCGCTTGATTTGAAATATAAAATGATCTATAAGCATTGTAGATTTCACCCAAACTTTAGTCCTGACATCAATCAATCAATTTTTTTAAATGTTTGTCTGATACCAACAAACTTCAAACCACAGAGTTATGATTTGATATGTTATGGACTTAGTTTATTGGTTAATCCAAGTGAGGTTATTAAAGCTTGAGAAATATCACTACCTAATATAGTATTAATAAATAAGTAAATATATGTGTTTAAAAAAAAAATCCAAGTTGGGAAGGGAGAAGGTGTTATTGAGGATTGAACCTTATACCATTGATCTGCAAGTAAATGTTCTTACCATATGAACTCATTAGTAACACTATGTGACGGCTTGACTGTCACACCGAACACAAGCATGCTTGTCAGCGCTAACCGATCCATCTCCAATTGAAGCTCCAGCCCGTGCAGCCAGCACCATTGTAGGACGAGCCCATTGGGACAAACCCTATTCTGGGTTGTGTTTGTTTTTGTTATGCCCCAACTCAAAACATGAAACAGCCCATGGCCGAAATTCAGCTCAAAGTTCCTATTGGAGAAAAAGAGATGAGCCCAAGTTCTTTTATCTTTTTTACCCTAAGATAAGACAGGATTACTTTCGTTTTCATTTTCACTGGGGGTTTGATTGTGGTTTGGAAGAAGATCTTTGATTGATGTGATGATTAGTAAAAATGATAAACCTTCCCTATGAGTGTAACATTTTGTGGTGGAGAAGTGTCGGTATTTCCCTACTAGTGCGGCCTCTTTTAAATTGTTTTATTTTATTTTTATATTTTATTTTTTATGATGGGATTTATAATCTAGATTCTTCTTCTTCTTCTTCCACCTCTATATTCGGCCTTAAATTGTGACAGTACATATGAATACCCAGGCCAGCTATTCGGTGGGCCAACAAGACTTCAATGTGTATAATGGGGCCTAACAACAATTTAATATTTTGTGATTTGAGTTAGGTGGTCGCAAGAATTTGGAGTTCACTGGATTAGGAAAATATCATTATAAAATTATGTATTTTGGTTATCAGATTAGTGGTTTTTGAGTCACTTTATTCTAATAATATTCTAAGTGGTTCAAATCTCAAAGATGAGGAAGAATCTAGGGAAAAAGAAACAAGGACCATTCATGTCATGTAGGCATGGGAAAAAAAAAACAGGTGAGACTAGAGATTCATGAATATGTATTAAATTGCAAAGGGTTTGTAGCTATCTGCATCCGATGTCCCCTCATATCGCTTGTATAAAGAGAATGAACGTATATTTAATCAAATGCGGAGAAAGAGAACAAATAAAACAATAATTCTTGTGAATATAATATCTAACTTTACTTTGTGGGATATTATTTGGCTAAGATCCGATAATATTTGGATAATGGATAATTAACGAGAAACTCTTAACCTCCTGCCAAATTATGGACCCATAGGAAACTAAATAGGGCAAAACAAAACTACCATTTTAATTACCAAACGTTAATTAGGATTAATTAGGTTACAGATTAACATTAATAAGGGATTTAGAAAATAAGACACTCCACGTCAGCGTCATCAATCCTAACTTATCCCTATAAATAGATGCCTAAACAAAAAGTTAAAACCTACCAAAAGCAACAAGCCTTCGTTCTCACGTTAATTCTACTTGCACCAAACCAGACCATAAGCTAGCACACAGTTTTTAGTTTTTAGTTTTTATTTTTTTTAAGAAGACATACATACCAGACCAAACCTAAGCAGCAGATCAAGCATGAAGTTCCTGTTGGAGTTGGGGTCGTGTTACCGTTCTTCGTCGTCGTTGAAGCAAACTCAAGATCATGAGATGATCAAAAGCCGTGTGAGAAGATCAAAGTCTGCAGAGTCTGCTCAACAATGGAGGCCAGCTCTTGTTGCAATCTCAGAGGATGTGGTTGCTTCTGGTCACGAGGGTAAGGCTCAGTCTGAGAAGATATCGTCCAAGAAAGGACGTAAGGCCAAGGCTCGAAGCCTCAGTTGCATTAGTCACGACGAGCTCTCCGGGTAATTATTATAATTTATTGGTTTTCAGTTTAATTTCTGGTTGGTTTTTTTATTTATAATATTTTGTGTGTGTGGAAATTTTGTGTAATTTCAGGGGAAACAATGCGCCTGTGTTCGTACCGGCAGCGTTTGCAGCAACCCCCTTCATGTTCTGATGAGTTTGCGGCAACCCACTTCATGAACATGTACAGAGTCTGGATCAGTTTTACTTTTACTGTTTTTATTTTATTTTAATGTTTTATTTTGTTGTAATTATTATGGAAGTTAGAGGATGGTATTTTATTTGGTTTAGAACCGTTTGGAATTTTCATATATTGTGCAGAATTTGAGAACTAGCTTATACAGACTGAGATTAACTCCTCTTCCCTTTTATTTTTCTCTTTCTCTTTCTCTTTTTTCTTTTGGTGATGGGAAACTGTATTTTCTTAATTGAATTATTAAGACTTTACTATGGTGGTGGAGGGGGGAAGAGAATGGTCCAAAAGGATCCCGAGTCTCTCTGCATTTAACATCAACGCATTTACACGTATTTTAAGAAAGAAAAAAAACCATTGGAGATTGGATTAATCTAATGGGTTTTGATAACTCCGTGTCATTATAATTGTATTAGACTGAAACGTACTCGGGATCCAGATCTGGGTTATGCTTATGCCAAAGCAGCATATCAGTTCCAAGATATAAAATAAACCTTATATATATATATATATCAAGCATTTACTGGAATGCAGTTTTTCTAAGTTGCTGTGCATTTGTGGTTTGGGCCCTGTTTGTTTCTTTGTGTTATTTTGGAATTGCCTTTTGTTTTCCATTAGGACTTGTTTTGTGCAGTCTTCGCTTTTTGGTTTAAGTTAGAGAGCTAAATAGCAATACATTGGAAAGTGAAGCACTCAATTTTTATAAAAAATGGCGGGTGCCTTGGTGTCTTTTCTTTCCTCTGAGAACTCCTCCTAATCCTTCCGGCAAAATCATGCTCAGTTTTTTTTACTATGTTCAGCAAATGGATCGATCCGAATTGTATGGTGCATTAGTTCTTGCTTGGGTACAAATTTTACCATAACCATTAGCCATAGAAAGTAGTTAACTTTGGAAAAACAGAAACAGCTCTGAACCCAGTTGAGATGAGGAACGAACGAGCATGGACTTGTTTTGGAGTCTGAAGGTCGTGGCGGCATGAATGCAGCACCAAACTTGAATAAGAAGAAAATGTAAGAAGGGTGACATGTTGTGACAGTGGGGTTTCGGGTGATGAGTGTGAAGTAGAAGAGGAAGTTTTGAGGGGAGAGAGAAGAAGTGGAAACGTTGAAAAACATTGGAGTTGGGATAAAATCTTGAATCTATAAACACAAAAGGACTTGTTGATAAAACTGTGTGTAATGCCTTTGATGTGAGGGTTAACTACAAAGATTTGTGAAGGCAATGAAAACGAAACGTACTGATACTGCGAAATCAACGGCAGGCATTTGTATGCCACGGAAATCAACACAAAAATAAGACAAAGGCTCAGTGTTGACAGTCCCACATCGAGAATATAGAGACAACTGTACGAGTTTATATAGCTCAGCATGTGAAGGAGGGGCACGACCTTACTTGGACAGGATCTGTTCTATAGGATCGTACCTCTGTATCCTTGATTTCTAAGGAGACAGGAATCCCAACCTGGTGGATGAATCAAGCCCGTACGATCAGAGCGTGATTAACAGCTTCTGGTTCCCTGGAACCAAATAGCCGTAGAGGATCGTTCTCAGCTGGGTGACTGGCTGGGGTTGGTTGTATCGGTTGTCTGACAGGTTTCCCAACTTCTTTTATTTTGGTCTGGGGGTGGCCTCGTGTGTTTTGGGTGGTTCATTCATATGGGCATTCCCTACGTTTTTTTCAAAGGAAATTGGCAAAAGGCTTAAAACTTGAAAGTTACCTAATTATGAAATTGAAGACCACGGTCTCCACTGGTGTCCATTGTCAGCATACAACCAAACTAAAAAGGCTTTCAATCAGCTTGATTTGATGTGGTGTGGTACTATAAGCTTTCTGTCTCTGTTTTCCTTTTGGACTTAACTAGATTGTTGGAGAGACTTTGGGCTTGGGGAAGAATACAAACTTCTTTTTTGATACAGAATATTGTTGGATATAATTTAGACAATATCGACTTTAGAGCATCTTCAATGTTTAGGTGTAAAGTATGGAATGTAAAGTCACTTTTACATCATCAATTGCATTTTTAATGGATATATGTATATTTTTATTTATTTATACAAACCACATTCAATATTAATTTAATATAAATTACGGGAGATGAGGATTCGAATTCAAGTATTAAGTGTAGATTCGACTTGGCTAAGCCCATGTCTGCCATTTTTCAATGAATATAAACACATTTTTAGGGCAATTGAAAGATGTACATTTAACCACAAAGTGTGGTGCGGTTGGAAAACTGCTACTTCCAGCTAGCGGATTGACTAGTGCCCAATTGGCAGTGATTCGAAACCAATTGGGAGCACTTTGTAATTAGGAGCAAGCCAAACACCAAGAGGGGATTAGTTTCACCCTCAAGGTGTGGGGACATCTCGTGGTATTTACCCAAAAATAAATATGTACGTTTGGTTTTTCATTTGGAAAATATCAAGTTAATCTCAACCGTTCAATTAAAATAACAATTTGAAATCTTCTCAATTACGGCTGTTGATTTGCTCAAAAAAATGATCTCCAAGTGTATATTATATAGCTAGAAATCATTGTGAGAGAGAGAGAGAGAGAGAGAGAGAACAATCTCCTCCACGTGTAGTACATAATCATTGCAGAAGTAAAAAATTGTGAGTATGAGATCATCTCCTCTTCTCTTTTTCTAGATCTATAATGATTTCTCTTTATCCATTGGTGAAATAATCCCATTATCACCGAAGCCCTTGTAACTGTAAAAACAGTGCATCTCGTTTTTTATCCTCTTCACTTGTGGTTACACTGCTCCTGTCATTATTTTACCATCATCCCCAATAGAGAAGCAGTAAAAAGGGGTTAGAATAAGAGAGTCCTTAATACCGATTCGATCAATGGATTCGATCAATGGGGTCAAACGACTAGATTGAAACCCTCAACACACCTCCTCAACATCTCCATCTCCAAAGCCCATGCTAGTTGACCCAAATAAAATTTTGGGGAACTAGTTGTAGTCAGAGAGCCTAGTTAAATTTGTTGGGCTTCAATCGAGTCCAAATCCAAACTTGAACACTTTGACCAATTCCAGGAATTTTGGACACACGACCATTTTAATATAAAGTTGTAGGTAGATTTGATTTGAGTATCTCAAAGCCTCAAAACCGCGATGACTTTGGGAGTCCCTCCGCCTGCATATTTTGCATCTGCAAAGCAAACCCTTCTCTCCCCTCCCCTCCTAAATTATTTCGCTCAAGTTCAGTTGAGCGCCAAAATCATGTTTACCAAAATAACCCTCCCTTATTTTCTATAATTTATATCACCACAGTGCCCCACCATCAACTTAAAATGACAATTACACCCTTCACATCTACTACTATACCAAAAATACCTTATACAAGGTGGGGCCCAGCACTAATTTAAAGTAGTCATCAGCACAAATAAATACAATGATTTTTTTGATTTTGATTACAAAAAAAAAAAAAAAAAATGATTTTAAAGTCTACAATGATTTTTTTGATTTTGATTACAAAAAAAAAAAAAAACAATGATTTTAAAGTAATTTTGTGATATTTATGAGAAGGTGATTCTCTTCTCATAATTTCTTTAACATATTTGAATAAAGTACTAACAAGTTTATTTGTACTTTTTATTTTATTTTAAGAATATTTTTTTTTTTTCTTCTACTTTTAAAATAAGTCTCAAATCCAAATCCTTTTTATTTTATTTTTATTATTAGTAAATTTAAAAAACTAAGTCAATGTATAGGAAATTAACCACATCCCAAGATTGTGAATGCTAGTTAGTCCATATCTTTGATTTGTATTGGTAGGGGCAGATTGTTATGCTTGTGATGCACAAAAGATTTTCTTTTCGTTCATAAATTTGTTATGTTTGTTGTGAGGCTAATGATGTTGATCATTATGCATTGTCAGTAATTTTAATGTGTTTGGTGTGAAGAACCATTTGATTTTTAATTGAATATGTGTATTTGGAGTCGGTATGCAAATGACATGTATGAAATTTATTTAATATTGTTTTATATTGTATGAAATTTTATTTATTATTATTATTATTATTTTTAGTATAAATGATAGTTTAAGATATTATGATGTTGGAACCTGACATTTCAGGTCTGCAAATCAAAACTTTTTTAACCGTACTAGACCCCATTGCCATTTATTATTTATTTTTGAATAGGTGGAGTGGAGCCATAATTCACCATTGTATGTAAGTCATAATGCAAGTGGAGCTCTTATGCTAGTGAAACTATTGGAGGCGGTTAAATTTTTTATTTTAAATTTATTTTATGAAACTGGAGTCGGTTAAACTGAAGGCCGGTCTCTTATAAGTTATGGTAACTAGTTAACGAATCTGTTTCTACGTAGACCAAGACCCCAAGGATATTCTGGTAATTTTATCAACGTACCCCCACGACTCTCACAATCGTAACACAACCCCAAAGGGCAAAGATCGGAAATAAGGAGAAAAATAAAATAAAAAAGAAATATAACAAGACGGAGGTTTCGTCTTTCAGACCAACAAGAACAGCAACAAGAAGAGAGAGAGGAACGAACAGATAGACACACACAAACTCTGAGAGAGAGAGAGAGAGAAAGAGAGAGAGATTCATCTTGGAGCTTTCAATTCTCGCTGTTTATCGATCTGTCTTCGTCAAGTCTCTCTTTTTCACACGTTGTTTCGCTTTGCCAGCTAGATTTTTCGCGCCGATCTATTCACTCAGCTCGTCAAAATTTTCTGGGTAACTCGTAATTTTCCTCCTTACGATTTCAATTATCCTTTTTAACTTCATGGGTTAGGGTTTTGATTTTCGAAGCTTATTGAATTCGAGGTTTTTATGCTTCATTTTTCAGTATTTATGCATGCGTGTATTTTACATTGAAACCCTACATTGGGTTTGTATTGATTTGTTTGTTGAATTTGTGGAAAATAGGGTTTTCAATTGGAGCGAGGATTCGACAGAGGAAGACAGTTGAAGCGAATTGCAGTATGAGCATCGAGAGCCCCGGGGAAGGGGACAATTAGGGTTTTGGGATTCGGAGAAGAGGGTTGGGATTTCCATGGGCGATGGAGGCGTCGCATGCATGCCTTTGCAGCATAATATCATGGACAGGTTTCCAATTCAGGACAAGACTACGCTTTGCGGAGGCAAGACTGCTAACAATGGCTTCAATTCCAAGCCGGTTAAGAAG